TGTCGATCGATAAAATTTCATCTACAATATGTTTAGTATAAAACAGTACTTTACAATATTCTGGCCCGGGGTTATTCTCGTTTACGTTCAATTTTAGTTTCGATGGGCGTAATTGCGTATTAACAAGATTGATTTTGACTGGAGCTTACCTTCGTAACGAATAAACCGTTAAATTTTCTGATCGAGGGGGAACATTCTGCAAGACTTTTTAAAATCCTTAAATCCTCTTACTACTTATACTAGATCGATAATGACCGTTGGATCAGAGTTTTACTTCGCAATCGATGAAACGCGCTACTTCTTGTGAAGCTAAATTCGTTACTTTTTTTTCTTATTCGAGAGTGTAAAGAAGAAACATCGATGGTAAGAGGTCGTGGTTAGCTTTTCTCGAGTTACATTTTTAGCGATCTAAAGTCTGTCTAGGAACTTGTGTTGCTACGAGGAATCGTACATCAAGCTAGCGAACGTACGTAGCTTGCTAGCTAGCGAAAATACGAGTATGACTAGGGTGGGGATCAAAAGTAGTAGACTAGGAAGGAGTGCGAGAGAATCAATGAAAAAGAGAAAAGAAAGGGTATGCGAACTTATAAATACGAAGTCCTGGAAATTGGAAAAGTTTCGATTCAGACCTGGCGCATCGACGCTTCGATATCGTTCATTTTTTTCCGATACTTGGCATTTACTGGTATCACATTAAGCGCTAGTCGTTGCAAAACAAGTTCTTTTTCCTTTTTCTTTTTTTTTCTCCCTTCATATTTTTTTTTTCTTTTTTTTTCTATCATACCTCATTATATCTCACGATTAATCTTTTTTTAATAACTATTTTTCCCCTATCTCTTTCCCTTTTTTTTCTTTTATTTATTTATTTGTATGTCGTAGCTACGAAGGAAGAAGGTTTTAAATTTGTGCTTATATTGCATATCTTGGCATTGGTAGTAGTAATATTCGATACAAATTGCTCGCCCATAAATAATTACAAACAGCAAATGGGTAAAAAGAATAAAGAAATGAGAGTGTGGAAATTATGAAAGAACGACGAGGATACTACCGGAAGATGTTATAACGCGTACTGCTAGTATAAACGTCGATTCTTGTTTCCTCCCGTTTTACCGTTCAATTTATTGAAATATTTATTTAAATAGCGTCTCTATGTCTCCTACGTAATATATGTATTTTTGTTGTCTTTGTTCTCCTCCTGCAATGACCACGAATTAATAATGGAAATAACGCTAAATGTGTGGACAAAGTGTATACGATAAACAATTGGAAATTTCAAAAAATACGTTTCGCGTGCATACACAATCCTTTTTCGAAACAAGACAAAATTTGTATAATGTTATCAAGAAATAGTACACTAGAATGTTTGTTGTTATTATTATTAATTTTATCTAAAACGAAATAAAAAAATAAAAAGTATGTGTGTGCGCGTGTAAGCGCGCGAATTGTTTTTTCTTTTTATTTTTATCACGCTTTCGGTTCCGAACGATACGAGACTTAAGATGACGATGGAAGATTATAGTAGTTGGTCTGGTAGTAACATTGAGTCAATCGCAAGAAAAGCGTGAATTTATTACATCGAAATCCACGTATCGCTGTTTGGTCAGCTCTCGAGAAGTCGAAATCATTCGCCGTCTCGTTTCATATCGTATTATCGCGTAAGCTCTCTAGTCGAAAGTTGTTTTCCGGTAAATGTCGGTCAGTATTAGCGTCTGAACGAACTTTGAAATTGATCAGACCGAAAGAACGCGACGCTTAACGAAAAGCAATTTTGAAATATAATAAAATGAAACGAATAATTGTGATAGAAAAAATTTCTTATTTTCTTTTTATTTTCCTTTTTATAATAATCCTTTTTATAGACTTCATTCGATGAAGTGAATTTTATTGTATATATATATATATATATATAAATTTTTTATTTTTTTTTTTTATTTGTTATCCCATAGAAAGTTATTTGATCTACTTGAAAAATATTTCACTTTCTTTTTTCTTTTCCATTTATCTCATTTGAAGAAGTGTCAGCATTTTAGTTGAGAAGTAATAACACTCTTCGACAATTTCTTTTCTGTCGAACAAAATCGTTCAGTATCCTTGCTGACATGGTCTAAGTCGGTCTTGTTACGTCGTGACAGATCTCTTAAGAAATTTCTTCTTTCTCCTATCACAATGTCTACGCCCTTCGCTTGTACGTTGCAAAGAGAAGGTGTGGGAAACCTATTTGTTCGCACCATTCAAGGATTTCTGAGTGCCTGTGGTGTACGAGCTCTACGGTACTGGTTTATTGCCCGAGGGGAATCAGCAACTTAGGAACGTGTCATAAGGAAATACTTGCCATCGGATAAGACAGTCAGGAAACCGACCTAATAGTTGATTCATCTTACCGAACCGTGATACAAGTAAAGGTTTCTGTTATTCGGATTAATATTATGATTTCTCATTCTTAAGAGATCGAAGTCACAATTGAAGCAAACTTTTAAATATCAGAAAAATCGTTAATGTATATATACAAATTTAATATTTATAGATATATTTAAATATATTGCAATATTAAGATGAACTTTATTTGCTGAAAAGAAATAAGTGTGATTAAAAAATTAATTTATAAATGTCTTACAAACATTGAAAAACGTAAAGGAAACATTAACGTTTCGTGAAATTTGATTAGAAAAATCCGGCTAAAGTGATTTTCTTTCTTTTAGGAGAAGAAAGGAAAGTACAACGAGCGATTTAACATGAAGCAGTCAGAAATGTCATGAACGATGATGGAAGATAATCAGGTGAATCTCGATTACGTCGGCGGTCTTAGGTACGAGGAATTTCGATTCCCTCTTATCCGCACGAACGTTTACGCCCTTCTCTCGTAAGCCTAGAACTCCGCCTTCGGTGGTCGACAAAGGGGTTGGAAGCTACTTCCTAGGGAAATTTAAGATATGTAGATAGAAAGAGATAGGTAGCTTGAGATTAGGGGAGAATAGAAACAGTAGATGGATAGCGAATTTTCATTGGATTTCGTGAACACGAGTTTCGATGTTGGCCGCGGCCGCGTCAAAGCGTTCTCGTGCGACATTACCGGAAATTGTGGCTGGKGTCTTTCTTGAATTCTCTCTCTCTCTCTCTCTCTCTTTCTCTCTTCGTTTGTCTGTCTGTCTTTTCGAGGTATAGTCCTACCACGAAATGCATGAGTTTTGCGGTAAATTCGACGGTTTGTATATGTACACACACATTCAGATGAACGACGTAGGTAGGCACACACAGGCGTTTATACACATACGCCCACACAAAATGAGGAAGTCCAGAGTGGATAGCTTGGTTGATGGAACCTGTGTACTCTGTGCTCACTGCTGTTCGGGTACATTAATTAAATACATTCTGTCTTCTGTCGCTTACCCTTTCAAACCCTTTCCCACTCCCTCCCACCCTTTCTTTCTCTTCCTTCCTCTCTCTCTCTCTCTCTATCTCTATCAATCCATCTATCTATCTTTACCTTTACTACCCTTCTCTCTACATACTTCATGCGTACACCACACCTTTAACTACCTGAATGTCCCGCACCTTTGATTATCCATTGAGCTCCTATTGTGGTGATACTTAATTCCAGTTTCGAAAGCTGTTACAGAGTTAAATTTCTCTTCATTTACCTATATAGTACTGAGCTAGCCACATTTCGTTAAGTTGAAATTTATTAGAAAGCTTAACTCATTTTCGACATAGTTTCGATATTAGTTGTATATTACTATACTGAGTGTTGATGGAGTTGGATGTTCACGCCTGGTTAGATGAATGCATAGTGCGATGAAATCGATTCTTTTGATTAGCCATTCGTTTTGTGAATCGTTCTTGACTCACAGTTTCACGTGTGTTTTGCTCTCATCAAGGTATTTCGACTCGGAACCTCGTTTACCTCAGACTAACGTTCTGGTGAAAGCTTTTTTGTCGAATCGTTGATGTTGGATGTGTTTTCATTGGCCTTGTTTAAAAACCCATTTCGGTACACCTACTAAAAAGTTGATTCCTTGTTAAGAAGTGTAAAATATCCGATGATTAAGTTTTTTTTTTTCTCTTTATCATACACATTTATTAATTAATTAATTAAATCGACTGTATATCGAATGCGAATGGTAAAATTTTTCAACCGAAAAAACTCAAATATACTTGTACTATTTTTTGTTTCTTTTTCTTCCCATCCTCAAATTTAAAAAGCACCACTCGTAATTGCAGTAGTTCTTTACGTTTACTTACGCTTTTCACGGTCGTCAGAGAGCGGCTTCGTTTCTACATGAGAATGTGAGAACACATTGCCCGCGAGTAAGATACATTATTGAATAAGTGTTCTCGGACACACTGGTTGCTACGAGTAAGTATAACAAAGTAGGCGGTAGGAACGACACAACGGAACTCGTTTATCTTTTAAATAAATCATAGATCATTTGTCTTCTTTTTTTTTTTTTCTTTTTTATCTTTTTTTCTTTTTTCATCATACCACTTTCCATCTTTTACGAGTACATTCAGGATTAAACGATATTGCCAATGGGGGGATAGGTACGTACTATCGAGAGTATCATACACTCACAGCACGTATGTGTTGCAGGCCATAACCTTAACTTTAAATCATCTATGAGCCACGTGACGACGAAACGCGTTAGAATTATCGATCGTTAAAAAAATGAATATCAAAATAACTCTCTCTCTCTCTTAGGTCAAAAAAAGAATTTATTTATTTTTGCGCGGAGTGTGTTGTGTGTATAATAATATGTAAACAAATATATAGATATCGGAGTTATGTACACACGTTTCTTCTTGCACTTTAAACTAAAGAAGATGCACTTTCACACAAGGGTGGATGAGTGGAAAAGAAAGACAAAAAGATAGATAGAGAGAGAGAGAGAGAGAGATGTCACGAGGACACGCACGCAAAAGGAAAGCCCTGGGGGTGGCTGATGCGCGGGCGCGGCTTTGCGGGTCAGAGTGCGCCGGGTATATAACCGAGCGGATGCCGTCGTCCTTTAGTCTCGCGTTTATCGTCGTCGCGTCAATGTCGATATCGTCACTGTCGTCGTCGTCGTCGTCGTCGTCATCGTCTTCGTCGTCATCGTTGTTACGATTCGCGCGATTTTACTTAACGTACGACATACGACGATGACAAAAATGCGCGGGTTTTTTATCAATCGGGTTGTTTTGTGACGTTCGATAAGAGTGGATTAAACAAAAATTTTCCCATGAAAAAAAAAAATAATCTTTCCTTTATCTTTCTTAATATATAATATAACACAAGCTTCTATATATTTTTATAAATCTATTATCATTTATGCGTCAGTATTGAAACATTTAATAACAATTGGATTGTATTGGATTTCTAATATCGGTGGAAATAATGACCATGCACGATCTATTTAATTATATTAATATTAATAATAATAATAATAATAATAATAATAATAATTAGTGATTTCATTGATATCAGAGTTGGTCGTAATCACGTTGTAAAAGAAGATAGGTGCCCGTGTTAATTTGTGAAGCGTATTTTCTGTGTGTATTTAACTTCGAATAGTAGGTCAAAGGCTATCGTGGATGGAAGAGCGACGAGGATCGATCAGAGATATCGATCATCGATCTATTTCGAAGTGCAAACTACGTTACGATATCATCACGATATCAAGGCATTCTTATTTTCTTTTCGGTTCAAATACGTGATCGCTTTTTTAAAGTGAAGAGTAGAAGAAGACTCGGTGGAGGTGCCTCGAGCAGTGTTCCAGGATCAAAAAGGGTCCATTCGAGAGGAGATGCTATCCTCGTCGATAAGCGGAACCGGAAAAGTTATTGCGATACTCCACTAGAAATTCGATTCGTTCGGCGATGCAAGGGTGGTGAAAGGGTGAGACAAGGAAAAGGAGGGGGGTTGGTGGAAAGGGGTGGGGAACTTCGGGAACGCGAGAGTAGCCGAGGAGAGATAAAAATAAAATAAAAGAAAGAACGAACGAAGAAAGAGAAGAGGGAGGAAAGAAATAATACAACGAAGGAAACGAGGAAAAAGGAACAGAAAGGTGAGAGAGTTGGAGAATGGCAAGGAGAATAAGAAATTCTTAGAATTGTGTGTTTCAATGTAGATACGAAAGAAAAAAAAGATTTACGTGGATAGAAAAATTTGTGACCAACGGAAGATTTAATCATTTATAACGTTCATTCTCATTTATCATATAATAATTCAGAAAGTTGACACGAATGTTCGTGAAAATCTGTGGAATGAGATTAGTGTAATTGAGAAGGGAGAGTCGTGTTAGCTAAAGTTCTGCTTTAAATTTCTCCCTTGAAGTGGACATCAGAGAATGGTTGAATTGGTATCTACGAGTTAGTGGTGGATAGAATTGAAATTAAAACGACGTCATTGTGCGAGGTGAACGATTCCATTTCGGTCTATTCGAATCCTTGGAATCTTCCAACCGAATCGATTCTAGCGTATTTCTGTAAGGTGCTTTAGGAAAATTCGCAGCTGATGCTATTTGGATTAAAGCGATCGAATAACAAGTATCCAATTGAAGGAGAGAACAATGAATCGATCCTAATAGTCGATCGGGCAAAGAGAAAAGGGATCAAAGAAGCATTGCATTTATTGCGGTGCTTGCCTATCGAAAGCACGCGAGTGCTGCGATCGATTCGGTCATTGCTTTTCGATTGGAAAGCATCCGCGAATCGGACTCGTATGGGGGAGATCGTAAAGACAAAAAGTCAAACGATATTCTTTCGTTTTAACAAATTGCTATGATGAAATTCTGGCTAACTAGATTCCTGAAATAACTGTTTGTTGTGGATACTATACGATGTAAAAGGTAAGGTGGGGGTATGATTTAGGGATATGCAATCGTGGACATCGGTTTGGTTGTTAAATAATGAACTTTTGTAATCGTTTATCGAACTTGTTTAAAAAAACGAACGTTGCCGTCGGCGATGTATTATTGAATGGGGAAAAAAGTGTTGAAGTATTTTTCGCGCGACAAACAACAAAGGGCTAACGAATGAGCTCGACGTCGTCGTTAAGAAAGCATTGTCTTCGCGATGATGAGATGTCCGATGAGAAGAGTTCGCGAGAGAATATTGACGACGAGGATCATGATAACAGCCAAGACCTTTACATAATTTCATTGAAATTCGTGGAAGATATTAAATAGAAAGATGTATGAAATTTTCTGTTACTGATACCGGACCAATTGGTGATATCGGGCCTAATGAGATCCATCGTTTTAGCGAGTCACGCGAAAGAAGGAGCGTGCTTGTCAAATTCGACGATCGCGAGTTGGATCGTTTGGGCGGTCCGGTGAAGTTATGAGGCGGCGTAACAACGGCTTTACAGCTGGCGGCAATAATGTCGCTTTTTGCTGCCAGAACGCGAGAAAATCTGGAAATCGTTCTTTCACCGGTGGTAGTTGCAACGAATCGGAGGGCAACGAACCATTGGAATGGTGCATCTATGCGGCCGTTACCCTTGTCGCAATCGGTTGTTATCTGAACGCTCTTGGTGGGGATTTTGTGCACGATGATATCCCAGCTGTTGTGAGGAACAAGGATGTGATTGCCCAAACACCCATCGTTAACGTTCTAAAGGACGATTTTTGGGGTACACCGATGCAGGATGTCAATAGCCACAAGAGTTATCGTCCACTTACTACTCTTACATTTCGGTGAGTCAACTTTTTTCTAATTGTTTCTATAACTCTTTCCGATATTTTACACCATCTATAAGAAAAGATCACACTTCGATAGTATATTGAATAGAACTTGAACGAGAATGACATCGCGATATATCGGTTGTTAAGCAATAAATATCTAATGTTTCTTCGTGTCGCGACACAAAGGGCAAGTGTTCGCAAGTTCCGTATTTCTTTCTTATCGAAAAATCGAAGGACCCTTATGGATTCGGTTAGCGAACCGAGAGTTATTTGAGATCAGATGTTATAGAGAATAACGCGAGCGTGTGTCGTCGTGTGATTCGATAACGAAAAAGACAACTTTGGCAGTGAACTCTGTTATGGTAAGAAAGTAAAATCTTTAACGAAGGATTAGGTGGTGAATCGGTAGAACATGTTTCAACGATTCAAATTGTATGCATGTACTATCCTTTCGCTTTCTCTCTCTCTCTCTCTCTTTCCCTATTTCATTCTATCCGCCAACTCATACCACTTCCGATTTGATGCATGGATACCAGTTTGCCACTCCACGTGCAATACTGCATATTGGCTGGTATTGGACGATCCATCACGCCACAAGACACCGGCACATCGCTCATCCGCCTTAACGCTCCAGATGCTCTTGCCAACTTCGTGGTGTAGTGCAAGAAGGAGAAGGGAGGAGGGGTCTTGCTAGAGCAGCACTACTCACCTACTTGCTCGTACATACATACATACATACGTATATACATACATAGTTACATACGTTACCTAGCCATGAGAAGGGAAAGGAATATAACTACCTAAGAAGAGTGGGGTCCTCCGTTTTGCACACTACCGGAACTGTAACGTATCTATAATAGTTCACGTCGAAGTACGCAAAAAGAAGGAAAAAGAATCTTCACTGGGTATGGCGAGTCACGTTTATCTCCGTACCTACTACGAGATATTAACGATTCGGATGGCGCCACGTTGAAGTAGTTTACGTAAGCACCTCGTAACCTTCGTCACGTCTTAATCCTTACGTCGACGCGTCGTGTTCGTTCAAAGCAAACGATGAGCCTATCCTCTTGAAACGAGGATCAAATCACAATCTGTCTGTTGTTTTTTTTTAATCATTGTTGAAAGCATTCTCTCTCTCTCTCTCTCTCTTTTTTTTCTTCTTTACTTTTTATTCGATCTTATTGTGTTATTTTATATTACAACAGTAACTTTTTCTAGACGTACTCGTGCTTCTTACAAATCATAGTTTATTTCTTGTACTTTATTTTACAAGTTCTGCCAATTAATAATGAATAATAAAATAAAAATATGAAACGATTTTTTTCCGAATTCTCTTATCGACTTTATTATTACATTGTACTCGTATCATGGATAATGGTCAATTGAATGGGTTTTCACACGCAAGAAAAAATTGCCAAGTTTTATTCAGGAAATGCAGTTTGATGTCTCTTTAACGAGGCAAAAGTAATCTTTCTTATTTACAAGAAGAAAAATATTGCCAATTGTGGAATTAGGTATATTTCGTTTTCGTCGTGATTCTATCGACCTTTTTTTTTCTCGGCTCTCACACCCAACGCCTTTTTTTTTGCCAATAGTAATCGTAAAAATTGTTTCGGTTGGTGGCCATTAGCCTTTGAGAAAAATTTTCAACCTTTTTCTATTTCTCAACCGTACACATTTTCATTCTCCATCTCTGTTGCTGGTGATTATCTCTTCTTTCTCTTTCTCTTTCTACATACCTACTTCTTTATTGCCACGAAACTCGGACAGTGCTCACGTTAGTTCGCTTTGAAGGCTCAAGTGCCCGAATGAAACTGCGTGGTCGACCCCAAAAGTACGGGGTTGCATTCGTGCCAGTTGACCCAGTGCCTTCCGCATCATTCTAAACTTTTCGCTGGATTTCCGGCTACTTTAACAAACTACGTATACCTAATACTTTATTTTTACGCGTCCAGCAAATAGGTATGACAACGTATCTCTGATCTCTACCACTAAAATCATTTTTATCAACCTTTTGTTTCTTCTTTTCCATTATAATCTTTCAATGTCACGTTTACTCATTTTGCCCAAGGTTTTAATTCCTGCGATTAGTTTCAAGATTTCCATTATCGTTACCTGTTGTTTTAGCTGAATCGAGGATTAAAGGACTAAAGGATAGAGTCTGGAATAAAAGCTGTTTCAATGCCAGCTAATTAGTAATTAGATAGCATTATTGGAAAAGTAGAAAATTACCAAATGTCTTTTATTTTTTTTTTTATTTTTATAAGTTCCCTCTCGCTTATGCTAAAAAAGAAACCTATTCGCAATGGTAATTGTACGCTATTAGGTCAACTCAGATCGCTACTCTAAAAGAATTAATTTTTATACAAAAATCGTATGGATTTTATTTGTCGAAAGAAAATTCGATTTATTGTTACACATTTTGCTCTACATTTGTATTATTATTTTTAACTTTGTACCTTTACGAATTAAAATTACTTTTGATATTCGATACTCTTTTAATTCATTTATTCGAATAAAATTGGTAGTGTTTCTATCTTTTTCTTTTTTTCCATTTTTATTATAATTCAAATTGCATTAAATATCGACGGAAGTGTATTCAGAGATATTAAATATTTATTGAAAACGATTAGTATATATATATGCTCGTTGCTTTGTTCGTTTGTTTAACAAATATGCAATAAACGAGTTGAAAGAAATTTGTTTGTGAGAGAAACATTATTTAAAAAATATTAAAAGTATCATCATTATTTATTTAGGAATTATTATAATATTTATTCTACCTCTTAAGAATAATTACAATATTTATGCGTCGTGAGAAAAGTTCTATGCGAGATATTGTACTTATATATGTTTTGCTTGTTTCGTTCATTCTTCTCCATGTTTTTCCTTCGAAATAAAACAAATATGCAGTTGGAGAGATTTTCTTTAGCGAAAGGATAGTTGTAATAAATGGAAAACAACTTTACAAATATATTTACGTAAATATATTCACTTAATACATAATGGAATATAAAATGATTTAACAAGCGAAATATTATTTCCAAGCGTTAATATTTTTATTATAATAAAAAACCGTAATGTATCAACGTAACAAAATATTTTAATTAGTCACAATTGAAAAAAGACGAATATATTTCACAAAATAATATTAACAGTTGAAACTAACAAAATCATAATTAACATGAAAGTTATAAAAAACAAAATGATGAAACACTATAAATTATTTAAATATTAAAATTCATAGTTTGCGAATAAAGGAAAAAATAAATTTTATCTAAGATCTTTTTCGTTCGTTTTTATTGTCATTGAACATTTAAATGTTTACTATCTGTATTTTCGAACAATCGAATAATATATTTATAAACAGAACAGACACGTATAGATAATTTTGATTGTTCAGTCAATTACTAGATATTTTTCCAATAATATTTATTCGTGTGCACGGGCAAATATATATGCGAGAAAGGAAATATAAAAGAAAAACGGATCGGAAAATGGAGGTTAGTTTCATATAGTCTTTGTAGTTTCATGATAATGTTTGTTATAATCGTGCTTGCAGGTAAGATTCTTTTTCACTCCCACGAGTGATCAATTCCCGTTTCAACGATCCATCATCGAAGATGCCTAGTTTTGTTACGTATCGTTAACGAACTAGCTTTATACTTTCGACGACGATAACATTCCCTGTTACTTTATCATTTCCACCATTCTGTCTCTTTTGTTCTTGTTTTGAAAAAAAAAGAAAAAAAAAGAAAAAAAACCCAAAAAGTAAAAGAAAAAGAATGAAAGGGAGAAGAAAAATAGAAGAAAAGAAAGAAACTTTACAAAGAAGAACGTTTCGACTTTAGCGAGAGTATAGCATGTACTGTTGAGACGCTGAGTAGTTGAAAACTCTTGGTATCCTTTTTTATTTTTTCTTCCCCCGTCTAGAATGCACACATCGCAACCAAGAAATCTCAGCTTCGCTTCAGGACGTTAACAATGGAGGAAGCGGTTGCTTCGACACCTCTTTCTTTCCCTCTCTCTCTCTCTTTCTCTCTCTTCTACACAGACACATATTCTTTTCTTCGTTGTACCTTCCGCTTGAGTCACTTTCAACGAGCAGAGATCGCGGTTGTAGGGAACGATGTTGTAGCAGGTACGTTCGTGATCATCGTACCGACGAGAGACTCGAAGACTGCTAGCCGAAGGAAGTTGTAGTCGTCGAGCTGTTCGTCTAGATGCTACTTGCTGACGTTGGTAGTGATCGTAGTGGTGTTAGCTGTTGGTAGAAGAAGAAGAAGAAGAAGAAGAAGAAGAAGAAGGAGGGTGAGTCGGGCAAGGCTAAATTCAGGAAAACGCGGAGGCAAAGACGTCCCTACTTCTCGTCGTTCTCGTCGTCGAGTGCAGCAACAGCAGCTTTATCTCGTTATCGTTGGTAGAGGCCGAAGCAAACAGAAACGTAACGAGTCGGAGCTTTGCTATGGTGGTTTTCTCCTCTACCGTGTATACGACTACGAGAGATAGAGAGAGAGAGAGAGAGAAAGAAGAGTGTTAGTGGTGCAGGATAGAAAGCAACAAGATAGAAAGAAAGAGAAAGGGAGTAAAGGGAAAGTAAAGGGAAACGAGAAAAAGAGAAAAGTAGAGAGACAGGAAGGTAGAAAGGGGATAGTCGATGCGATCTCTGAGAAAGCTGAAAGGGTCGTTGTGCCCCATCAAAGTCCTGCAGCTTTCCAATACACCTCTAGCAGAGTTCATCGAAAGTTGGTTCGAAAAGAAGGCAGGGAAGAGAGCGATTACCTGAATTGGACTTTCAGACGAATACGAAATGCGCTTTCCCGGATAAACCGGTAGACGAAAGATGTTCCTACGGAACGATGCGATGGAATTAATCCTGATAGTCGTTTAAATAAGATCGTGTTAATGCTCTAAGGTCCGACAAAAAAAAAAAGAGTTAACAAAGTTACAAAGAGAGAAAAGGAAAGAGAGAGAGAGAAAAAAAAAGAAAATAGTACGGGAAGGTAAGTTTT